ATAAATCTGTGTATTTAGAATAAATGCTGTTTGTTTCACGCGCCTAGCGTATATCTGAACATCACTTGCGCTGTTTCTTCCAATCAAAAGCTGCCACATCACGTTTGTGGGGGGCCCATTGTGTTTTTATTCAGCTAGTTGAAAAATTTCAACAGAGTTGAAGCCACGTAACTTTTCTCATTTTTTCAACACCCTCACTATTTCATATTCAACAGTTGAAAAAATTATTCAACACCCTCAATGCACATGTGGTCTTATGAACAAAAAAAAATGAGTGTGGGGGCACATGCCACACACTCTTCCTCTCTAGATCGGGCCCTGGTGGTATGTTAATGCTGGTAAATGGTATGGTTAGGTAGGTTAATCTGAAGGACTAGAGAAGTCAAAAGTCAAAACGGTCGTTTGAAAAAGAGACACCGACTTATAAAAAAACCAGGTGGTTTGGTTCATGAAACTAAGACATATATTTACAACAAAAGTTATCATCATCCTCTTAAAGCAAACAGTGTTCGTTATTTTGGCACCAAATATCCTCTTACAAGAACCACACGTTACGTGTATAATAAACCATGTATACTGTCCTACTTATAGAGATGCTCACAATTTTCTTGTCTATTTATAACCAAGAGCCGTTGGGAGAGAGTTTATTATGGAGAGAGAGAGAGAGACGCATCAGAGCATCATCGTTCGTTCCTCTGATAATGAATCAAAAATGACATTGACGACGTTGTTCTTCTCTTACCTCGCCGTTCTCTTGCCGCTAACTCCGTCAATTTCCTCCGGAATCGACGTCCTCGGCTCGATTTGCAACAACGGCACCGTCTCCGACGCGGAGGCTTATCGGAGATCTTATCAGGTTAATCTCGACGAGATCCGAGACGATATGAGGAAGGCGAAGTTTGCGATTCATGAACACGGAGATCCTCCTCAGAAGATGTACGTTTTGGCTCAGTGTGTTAGCGATCTCTCACCGGACGAATGCAATCTCTGTTGGCCACGCGCCTCCGATCTCCTCTCTCAATGTTTTCCGGCCACCGGTGGTCGGTTTTACCTCGACGGTTGTTTCATTAGGGCTGATAATTACAGCTTCTATCAAGAGCCTCTTACTCATCAGGACACCAAGGTTTTGTGCTCTTCTTCCTTCTTGTTTTCTTTGTGATTAGAGATGGTTAGCTTTTTGATCAATTGATTGAAACAATGGGTCAATTCCGCAGTTAGGATTCAGTGTGGATTTTGGTTTAAGAGATCCCATTTCGAGGATAATCAGCCTAATGTTTCGACCATTTTTGGGACTTTTTTTAGGTATGTGCTAGTGACAAGGAGTGGTCTGCAGAATTCAACGGCTTAGTAAAGGAAGTGACCGAATCCATTGTTGAGAAGGCTCCATATAGTCAAGGTTTCTCCGTGGCTCAAAAGGGAAACCGTGATCTAACGGTTTACGGGTTGGGTATATGCTGGCGAACGCTAGACGATGAGTTGTGCAAGCTATGCTTAGCAGATGGAGCTTTATCGGTATCTAGCTGCTTACCATCCAAACAAGGCTTTGCCTTGAATGCAGGCTGCTACTTGCGTTACGCTAACTATACTTTCTATAATGAACGTGGATTGATTTCTATGAGTATGTCTTTTGTGTGTCCTAACGCTTGTTGTTCTTCAAATTGTGATCTATCTTTTTTGATCATAACATTTCTTTTGTTAGGTTTAACGAAGGATAACATTGCGCATATGCTGGTCATTTCTGTGGTGGGTGTCTTGGCTATTGCAGCTGGTTTTTGGTGTGGAAAATGTGTCTATTTGCGAGCTAGTCAAAAGAAGAAGCTTAAAGGTAATTTCCTTGTTTGGAACTAAGACTATATAATATGTGGTCAAGGGCGGTTAGCTCATAGGAACTAAGACTAAAAAGTTTCACTTGTTTGAACATCTAAGGATAGAGAAGGAGTCAAAGTCTATACGTAATAGCTCACACTTGATGAGCTTTAAGCACTCAACTCTTGAAAGAGCAACNAAAAACTTCAGTGAGAGTTGCGAGCTTGGTGTTGGAGGATATGGTGAAGTCTTCAAGGTCTTTTTCTCTACTCTATATAGATATCCTTCTCTACATTTGACCACTATCTCGACTTATTAAAAAGCCTTAATCGTCTTTTTGACAGGGAACTCTGTCTGATGGTAGAGAAATTGCTATTAAACGGCTGCATATAACAGGAAAGAAGCCACGGGAAGAGATTCATAATGAAATCGATGTAATTAGCAGATGCCAACACAAGAACTTGGTCAGGCTCTTAGGCTGCTGCTTCACTAACATGAATAGTTTCATTATCTATGAGTTTCTCGCTAACACAAGCCTCGATCACATCTTATTTAGTAAGATCCGTTCTCTGAAACAAACAATGCTTGCATATCTGCAAAATTTCTAAACTTTTTTGCTTGGCATGGAAGTGAAGACCCAGAGAAGAAGAAAGAGCTTGACTGGAAGAAGAGGCGGACAATCATCTTAGGAACAGCAGAAGGTTTGAAGTATCTTCACGAATCTTGGAGGATCATTCACAGAGATATCAAAGCAAGCAACATTCTGTTAGACTTGAAGTACAAACCGAAAATCTCAGATTTTGGATTAGCCAAGTTTTATCCAGAAGGTGGCAAAGACATCATCCCTTCTTCCTCTCCCTCTCCTTCCATTGCCGGCACGCTGTAAGTTCCTTCAACACAAAAAAAAAAAAAAACTTAATTGGTCTGATTTAGGATTTCAGAATGGAATTTCCGGTTTTTTTGTCTTTGGCAGAGGATACATGGCTCCTGAGTACATTAGCAAGGGAAGACTAAGCCATAAAATTGACGCTTATAGCTTCGGAGTCCTTGTTCTCGAAATAACGAGCGGTTTCCGAAACAATAAATTCCGATCTGATAACTCCCTTGAAACCTTAGTTACCCAAGTGAGTCTCCATCTTCACATCAAATCTTTAACATCTTAGGCTCCATTAACCATATCTCAAACCCTTGTTCTTGAGAACAGGTCTGGAAATGTTTTGCTTCAGACAAGATAGAGGAGATGATAGACAAAGATATGGAAGAAGAGACAGATAAGAAAGAAGTGAAGAGAGTGATGCAGATTGGTTTGTTGTGCACACAAGAGTCTCCACAGCTTCGGCCAACCATGTCTAAGGTAATACAAATGGTTAATTCTACAGATCTTGTATTACCCACTCCTACTAAACCACCTTTCCTTCATGATTCCTTGTAGAAAACAAAATCAAATAATTTGTATAAATCCTCACTTTCTTCTTATTATTGTTAGTAAACGCATTATTGACAAATTGAATGAATCAATTGTCACGTGATATTTTACTAGAAAGTCGAGCAAAAAGAGTCTGAGGCATTGTATTGTGTATAACGAACATACGAAGGATTGTCGGGCGCGTGTCGTTTCACGCGCGGCGACAATAATCGCCAAAACCTAGCCTCCGTCAAAAGCTCGCCGATTTCCCTCGCCTCTCCGGCGAACGGTTTCGCCGTTGCCGTGAGAGGGCCCTCTTTTCTTTTCTTTTCTGTTCTTGTGCTCGCCGGATCTACTCCCCCCGTGTTCTCGTAGATCTACTCATCTTTGGCCGGCGAGAAGATGGAGAGGAGCGCCGTGACAGCCGCGTCTGGGTGAGGGGTTTCCTCCGCTCGCGGCCTGCTTGTCGGTGCTGCAGTGTCGTTGACCGGAGATTGAGCTCCAGCCCTTCACCATCTTCACGGTACCGACCGCCACAGATTTACTTCGTGAATCTACCTCTGTCTTGGCGAATCCGATGTTGGTCGATGCCTCTGTGGTCAAGGAGCGACGTCCGTCTGCTTTGGCTCAACCTCCGTCATCTTGGTTTTCGCCCTTACCAATTTTTGAATTGGTTCTCCGCCGTGCAGGGGAGTTCTACGGTGGCTGGGCCGTGTCTCTGCCTCTTCCGTTGGGAATCGGTCTTGGCTTGAGATGGTTAGCTCTCTGTCCCCTCCTTGTTCTCCTCTGTTATCCTCCTCGACTCGTTAGCCCCGGCGATTTTCCCAATCTCTGGGGCACGGTCAATTTGGATTCAAGCTTGAGTATTGAAGCTGCTGCTAGATTGGGCTTCTCCTCGGATGATTTGCCCCCGTGATTTGGTTTCGCACCTGTGGGTATTGCTGTGGACAGCAGCTCTTCCTCTCATGCGTTCCCATGGTTGCATCTTGGGAGCTTGTATTTCGTCCCCGGTAAGTCTTTTTCTTCCTCTGGTGAATGTGCGATGTCGTAGTAATTGGTTCGGTCCTGCTATCGGTGGTAGACTTGGATGGATCTTTGCTCTTACTTCGTCGTAGTTCTGGAGTTCTCGGGTTGGGAATGGACCTGTTGTGGAGAGTGTCTCCCTCTCGATGTTGGTCTGTTAGATGGTTTGAGGATTAGTGTGTTGGGTCGTTTACTGGAGTTTTGGCAGTAGAGGAGCTAGTAAATCCCAGGATGAGTGGAGTTGTTGTTCATGGATACATTATGCTTTGTACTAGCCAAGTAGGGGAAGCAGGCTCTACTCATTTCGGGGAGGTGAGAATTCTTCTCGGGTTAGGCTCATGGGGATGTGCTTCTAGTCGCTCTCACTCGATGCAAGCAGAGTCGGTGATCGAGGTCGTTGAGGTACAAAGCCGTTGACAACCCTTGTTTGGTCCTCTTGAGAATGGCTTCTACAGCTTATAGTCCTTTCAACCGGTCAACGTGTTATTACAAGAGCCTTCTGAAGCCATTGGATTTTGGTGGAACTCTCAACATCGTCATCATTCCGTTTAGCTCCTTCAACCTTGTGTTTAAGTTGAGCTACGTAATGAAAAACTTGTAGGCATATGTTTCCATGTTTTTAATCTTTTTTTGTCATGGAATACATTGTATAGGACTGCAATTGCGATTGTAATCCTGAACCTTTTCATCTAATGAAATATTTACCGTTTAGCAAAAAAAAAGAGTTTGATTACTATTTTGATTCTTTCAGGCTATAATGAAACTTGCAAGTTAGATTACTATTTTAATTACTCATGACAAATGATCACAAACAATGCATTAGATGTAACACATGATTACTGAACAAATTCATCTATCTATAAAAAAACCTAAATGAGTATTCATGAGTATTATATGTATAATACAAGATTTAGTTGTCGTTTTTTTTTGCACAACCTTACTTCATTCATTTAAATTTTACAATACAAAGAGAGGGAATTAAACATCCTCTAATCTTACTACAACATAATTGAAACATAATACAACATAAAACAGATAATTCATCTTAAAAGATGAATAGCGGATTCAATGCATACCTCAAATACGTCAAATAGATTTCAAGCAAGATTTAATTGTCTATATGCTCTTTTCTGTTTCTCTTATGTTAATTGTAGGAGGTAAAAAGTATTAATAATTGATAATCTAGCTTGGTTTGAGTATATGGATTGAAGAATATCGTGTTTGTTTGTAAATATCTTATTCGGATTAATATATCGAATTGAGAGTCGGATCGGACGGGAATTGGTTTCTCGAATATTACCACCTAGGTGATACATGCAAAGAAATTAAATATTAACATATGTGGAATTCGAAATACTGTTTGAATGATTCAATTTTCAAGGATTGTCACATGTCTTCTTAGAGACACATTTAAGCTCCTAAGAAACAAAAAATTATATGATCCGAATCTTGATTAGAAACTGGATATATATATTTGGAGTTAAGGAGCTTCTTACGAACATCTCCAATGGTCTCCAACATCTCTTATTGTCAGAAAAAACATAAAAAAATGAAAAAAAACTCTCTCCAATGGTATTTCAAAATAAGAGAAAAAATGAGTTTATGAATAGTATTCCAAATTTGAGAGAACATTATCACAATACTAATTTTAATGCAACACTTTTTTATTTGCATTTTGATCTCTTAATTTTTTTATTTGCATATTTTTAGCGTTTGATGCATGACAAAAGT